CGTCCCTGCAATCATGAATTGGTTGCAAAAAACTCGATTTGCAAGTTCTAAGGTTGATGTGGATCTCTCTCTACCTCGCTGTCTTAAGTAGTAGTATTTTCTGGTAGGACAACGTCGGTCATTAAAATTATGATCTGATTTTGTATTTAAGAATGCCCAGACATGTTATTAAAAATCCTTTGAGTGTTCTTTATTTACTGAGATCCGGTACCTAAATATTCTTGAGTGGCTGTGTTGACAAAGACCGTCTCTGAGTGGCTGTGTTAACAAAGACCTCTGAATGACTGTGTTGACAAAGACCTTCTCTGAGTGGCTGTGTTGACAAAGACCTCTGAATGACTGTGTTGACAAAGACCTTCTCTGAGTGGCTGTGTTGACAAAGACCTCTGAATAACTGTGTTAACAAAGACCTTCTCTGAGTGGCTGTGTTGACAAAGACCTCTGAATAACTGTGTTAACAAAGACCTTCTCTGAGTGGCTGTGTTGACAAAGACCTCTGAATAACTGTGTTAACAAAGACCTTCTCTGAGTGGCTGTGTTGACAAAGACCTCTGAATAACTGAGTTAACAAAGACCTTCTCTGAGTGGCTGTGTTGACAAAGACCTCTGAATAATTGTGTTGACAAAGACCCTCTCTGAGTGGCTGTGTTGACAAAGACCTCTGAATGATTGTGTTGACAAAGACATTCTCTGAGTGGCTGTGTTGACAAAGACCCTCTCTGAGTGGCTGTGTTGGCAAAGACCTCTGAATGGCTGTGTTGACAAAGACCCTCTCTGAGTGGCTGTGTTGGCAAAGACCTCTGAATGGCTGTGTTGACAAAGACCCTCTCTGAGTGGCTGTGTTGGCAAAGACCTCTGAATGGCTGTGTTGACAAAGACCCTCTCTGAGTGGCTGTGTTGGCAAAGACCTCTGAATGGCTGTGTTGACAAAGACCGTCTCTGAATGGCTGTGTTGACAAAGATCTTCTCCGAGTGACTGTGATGTCACTTAAGAAATGCTCTCTGAGTGACTGTATTGAGAAATAAAAACACTGGTAAGACACTGATTGCAGAGGAAAGCCTTTAAGTGCAACGTTTCACCACTCACTGGCCTTATCAAATACTGTACATAAAACACAACAGAAAATCACAATTTATGCGGAATAACTACTCTCTCTCTCTCTCTCTCTCTCTCTCTCTCTCTCTCTCTCTCTTAATGGAGTTCTAGATACTATACAGTGTATGTCACTCCTAACGTAGACAGGCAAAAATGCTCCGCTGAATGTTGATACTAAGAAGACAAGAAAAAAATCCTGACGCCTCTGATGTGTTTATATTCCATATGTATCTCTGAGAGGCCAGGGGGCACCTTGATGCCTGTGAAGGACTCTCCAAGCAGAGAGTTGAAACAATTTCCCCTTTCCATGGATCGACGCTGATTGTCTCCCATTTCCCTGAAGCTGTATGACCCCTACTGATGTAGTGCTCCCCGTAAATGTAAAAATAATAAGAAGAAGAAGAAAAAGAAGAAAAAAAAGGAAATAAAATTGTTGGATGAAAATAAAAGTTATTTTGGGAAGCTGAATAATGTATTTAAATCTATAGCAAAAATGTCTTAAAACTTATCGTAAAAATATCCTAAAGGAAGGAAACACAGCAAGAGAACTTTAACCATAGATTAATTATTGTGAGCAAACTTTCCCGAGTGACTGAGGAGAACCCAAAAATATTAAGATGTTCAACACATGAATATCTTCCATATGAGCCAATTACTCGACACCTGAAAGAGACATGACTCATACTCGGTAAATTCTTCCAGTGGTTTACCTGGAGTTTACCTGGAGAGAGTTCCGGGGGTCAACGCCCCCGCGGCCCGGTCTGTGACCAGGCCTCCTGGTGGATCAGAGCCTGATCAATCAGGCTGTTGCTGCTGGCTGCACGCAAACCAACGTACGAGCCACAGCCCGGCTGATCAGGAACTGACTTTAGGTGCTTGTCCAGTGCCAGCTTGAAGACTGCCAGGGGTCTGTTGGTAATCCCCCTTATGTGTGCTGGGAGGCAGTTGAACAGTCTCGGGCCCCTGAAACTTATTGTATGGTCTCTTAACGTGCTAGTGACACCCCTGCTTTTCATTGGGGGGATGGTGCATCGTCTGCCAAGTCTTTTGCTTTCGTAGTGAGTGATTTTCGTGTGCAAGTTCGGTACTAGTCCCTCTAGGATTTTCCAGGTGTATATAATCATGTATCTCTCCCTCCTGCGTTCCAGGGAATACAGGTTTAGGAACCTCAAGCCCTCCCAATAATTGAGGTGTTTTATCTCCGTTATGCGCGCCGTGAAAGTTCTCTGTACATTTTCTAGCTCGGCAATTTCACCTGCCTTGAAAGGTGCTGTTAGTGCGCAGCAATATTCCAGCCTAGATAGAACAAGTGACCTGAAGAGTGTCATCATGGGCTTGGCCTCCCTAGTTTTGAAGGTTCTTATTATCCATCCTGTCATTTTTCTAGCAGATGCGATTGATACAATGTTATGGTCCTTGAAGGTGAGATCCTCCGACATGATCACTCCCAGGTCTTTGACATTGGTGTTTCGCTCTATTTTGTGGCCAGAATTTGTTTTGTACTCTGATGAAGATTTAATTTCCTCATGTTTACCATATCTGAGTAATTGAAATTTCTCATCGTTGAACTTCATATTGTTTTCTGCAGCCCACTGAAAGATTTGGTTGATGCCCGCCTGGAGCTTTGCAGTGTCTGCAATGGAAGACACTGTCATGCAGATTCGGGTGTCATCTGCAAAGGAAGACACGGTGCTGTGGCTGACATCCTTGTCTATGTCGGATATGAGGATGAGGAACAAGATGGGAGCGAGTACTGTGCCTTGTGGAACAGAGCTTTTCACCGTACCTGCCTCGGACTTTACTCTGTTGACGACTATTCTCTGTGTTCTGTTAGTGAGGAAATTATAGATCCATCGACCGACTTTTCCTGTTATTCCTTTAGCACGCATTTTGTGCGCTATTACGCCATGGTCACACTTGTCGAAGGCTTTTGCAAAGTCTGTATATATTACATCTGCATTCTTTTTGTCTTCTAGTGCATTTAGGACCTTGTCGTAGTGATCCAATAGTTGAGACAGACAGGAGCGACCTGTTCTAAACCCATGTTGCCCTGGGTTGTGTAACTGATGGGTTTCTAGATGGGTGGTGATCTTGCTTCTTAGGACCCTTTCAAAGATTTTTATGATATGGGATGTTAGTGCTATTGGTCTGTAGTTCTTTGCTGTTGCTTTACTGCCCCCTTTGTGGAGTGGGGCTATGTCTGTTGTTTTTAGTAACTGTGGGACGACCCCCGTGTCCATGCTCCCTCTCCATAGGATGGAAAAGGCTCGTGATAGGGGCTTCTTGCAGTTCTTGATGAACACAAGAGTTCCATGAGTCTGGCCCTGGGGCAGAGTGCATGGGCATGTCATTTATCGCCTGTTCGAAGTCATTTGGCGTCAGGATAACATCGGATAGGTTTGTGTTAATCAAATTTTGTGGCTCTCTCATAAAAAATTCATTTTGATCTTCGACTCTCAGTCTGGTTAGCGGCTTGCTAAAAACTGAGTCATATTGGGACTTGAGTAGCTCACTCATTTCCTTGCTGTCATCTGTGTAGGACCCATCTTGTTTAAGTAGGGGCCCAATACTGGACGTTGTTCTCGATTTTGATTTGGCATAGGAGAAGAAATACTTTGGGTTTCTTTCGATTTCATTTATGGCTTTTAGTTCTTCCCGCGATTCCTGACTCCTAAAGGATTCTTTTAGCTTAAGTTCGATGCTTGCTATTTCTCTGACCAGTGTCTCCCTACGCATTTCAGATATATTGACCTCTTTTAGCCGCTCTGTTATTCTTTTCCGTCGCCTGTAAAGGGAGCGCCTGTCTCTTTCTGTTTTACATCTACTCCTCCTTTTTCTTAGAGGAATAAGCCTTGTGCATACATCGAGTGCCACCGAGTTAATCTGTTCTAGGCATAAGTTGGGGTCTGTGTTGCTTAGTATATCTTCCCAGCTTATATCGGTTAGGACTTGGTCCCCAGAGTTTTGTAATTGGTTATTTAATTGACCTTGGAGCGCATCGACGACTCTGAAAGTCGCCAACACTGCTTGTCAAGACTACTTTAGTCCCAACTATGGGCCTATTGGAATTAAACTCTAAGTGATCATATATTGAGATATGTACCACCCTTTCCTCCACGTGTACCTGCACTGTTGCTCTCAGTGCACGCACGTCAAGAGATATACTCATCAGAATTTATTTCTTGCATCAAGAGCCCTAGACCAGCATCAAGGACGCTCCCTTCTTTGAACAGAAAACTACTTCAGAACATATAACAACAGTAACATAGATTAGTTACCAGTCCCTATACTAATAATACTTACAAATCCCTAGCCCCTGGTACACCGGATCAGGTAAGTCAGCTTGACGGAGATTATGCTATTTTCATGGTCTTGATTCGGATTACTTTTGTAGTTGTTTTTACAGATTGCTCTTTTAAAAGTTCTTCAGTGTTTAGACTAAGTTTGTTATTGTAAGTGTAGTTGTTAGCGCAGTCAGAGGTGATAATGTGCAGTACTGTATATTGAGTATGTGTGGTATACTGTGTTATGAGTGTAGTACTGTGTGCTGAGTGCGTGCAGTATGGCGTGTCGAGTGTGGTAGTGATGCTAGCTGTTTTCCTGAGCTGGAGTTCCGCTAGGCCGCCTGCTGTCGTCTGGCCAGATTACTTGCGCCTCCCTTCGTCACCTCCCGCAGAGGTGCCGCTCATCCATTTTCTTTCCCACTGTGCCGTTTGTTACTTTTGTTTCATTCAAGCATTATTCCAAGCGTGATGAAATGCATGTGCAAGGGAAAATGCTCAGGTACTATTTCGGATGACGAAAGATGAGTTCATACAGGTAAATGAGTTAAAAGCGGCATCATGAGAGGCTGCCAGATTAGCAAGACAGTATGGGGCTCCGCATATTCGCTGCATTTCCGAGACTTTGTGTATGTTAAGTGATAAGATAGTGACACCCGGTCAGTGCTTTTAATGTAGTGTGTGTGTGTGTGTGTATAAAGGGTGTGTGAGAGTGATGCCCGGGCACTAGGGCGCGAGGGTGCAAGCAGGGTACGCAGGAGACCAACAATATAGATGTGTGGGCTTGACCTGTGTGGGTTAGTCGCTCTAGGACCACTGAACAAGCAGTATGCGCATGTTCTCTGCTCTTCGACGGTCTTAATCGAATCAGAACCGCAATAGAGACTGCTTGAACGGCCAAGCATCCGCAGTTTCAAGGAACACCGTACACACTTTCAAAGTCTGAAGGAAAAGCTTTGGAATATGGAATCTCATCAGTCACTTGTGTTGTGTGCGGTGTACACGATGTTCCTCATGTTAGGAGCAGTCCTATTCATGTTCCTGGAACATGAGGAAGTTAACAGTATAGAAGTGAGCGAGCCACCAGAGTGGGCCCGCCTTAAAGGTAAGATTTTGCACTCAGTATTCAAGACTTTCTCTTAGTTACCCACCCCAATTTCTCCCAACTTATAGGTGAAAACATTTTTACGAATATTTTTGTCTCGCTGTGACCAGAATTTGAACCCCCCAGTCTACAAAGAAAATATTTCTTGGTAACCTTAATACCTAGCGTTTCCAGGTTACAAATAAGGCTGTAAGTAGTAAGATCATCACTGCTAAGTTATGCAGGAGTCATGGCCTTGTGGGGGCTACCTTCCCGTCCTTGAAGAATCTCTAGCATGACTTCCCTTAAGAGAGGTTCCTTGATGCTGGTGAGGGACTCTTGATCTAGGGAATTGTATCTTTGCTCCAGTTCCCTGAACTGAACCTGAATGCCTTCCATCCCCACCCCCATCATAGGCGTTGTATGATCCCTACGGGTTTAGCGCTTCCCATGATAATCTAGCATGGCTGTGTATGTTATTAACTGGGATTCGAATCCTATAGTCTCCGCGAGGTATCACATGTGTGTATATATTAGAGTTCTTTTAAAGTTTCGATCATTGTTCATCTGTATCTGTAAAGAATTACAAAAATGTATAAAAATATCAAGAAACTGGTTTGTTGGCGATTCAAGTCGTAAAATTAAGTTGCAACGCCTGGTTCTGTTAGCCTGACACGAGGCTTTCTTTTGTACTCAACAATTCTTTATTACATGCAAACTATATTTCGTATACTACGGAAGAGAAATAAAGTTGTCCTGTAGTGTATACGTGAGTACACTGCGCCAGTCTATGTAAACTGAACTAGAGAAACCTTCACGGAGGACATACAATTATTTCTGGGTTAATAATCTCGCTGCTGCTACGCTGTCGTTAAGATCTGATTTTTAATGCTTTGATGACTCTCTGAAAGTCAGTATCGCTGTGGTATATGATGATTTTATTCTCATATATTATGTGCTAGGGATTTTAAAGGTATTGCTGAGGCGCAGAATAGGATGTGTATCAAAGTAGGTTGACACGGAGGTTCACATGGAGGTTCACCTGGAGGTTCACCTGGAGGTTCACCTGAAGGTTCACCTGGAGGTTCACCTGGAGGTTCACCTGGTTCACATAAAGGTTCACCTGGAGGTTCACTTGGAGGTTCACCTGGAGGTTTACATAAAGGTTCACCTGGAGGTTCACCTGAAGGTTCACCTGGAGGTTCACCTGAAGGTTCACCTGAAGGTTCACCTGGAGGTTCACCTGAAGGTTCACCTGAAGGTTCACCTGGAAGTTCGCATAAAGGTTCACCTGGAGGTTCACATGAAGGTTCACCTGGAGGTTCATCTGAAGGTTCACCTGTAGGTTCACTTGAAGGTTCACATGGAGGTTCACCTGGAGGTACGATCCTAGGCATGAGACGTTGTCTCGGTTTTTTTTGTGATAAAAATCGCCACTCCCCCCTCCCCTCGTTTTCCCTTCCCAGTTCTTGCCCCCTCATTAACTTCCCCTCCTTATCAAGCAACCCCCTTCCTCTTCTTATCTAGCTCCCCCCTCGTTATTGCCTCTACCCCCACCCATTTAAATCTCCCATTTTCCTTTCATCCCCCCCCCACAACTTTCTTTCCCTTTCCATTCAAGGCCCCCCCTACTATTCCAACTTCCTCCCAGCTTAATCCCCAACACAATACCCCCTCCCCCTCTCCCCTCTCCCCCTCCCCTAGCTGTACCTCTGGCTTGCGTTGGTGATCTCATTCTTAAGATGATACACCAGATTTCCTTTCTACACATTTTTATAGATCTGACTCTCCTCTCCTAACACCCACACACACACAAAACAGCTGTGTGTGTGTGTAGCCACAAAAACTTGTGGTGTTTGCGGTGTTTTGCCTTCTATTCTTTTTTTGTTGTTGTTCATTATAATATTCTTAAAAGTTCTGACTGGTTGCAGTTCTTACTAAAGTTCTAATTGGCTGAAGTTCTTGCTACTTCCTCTTTTACATCATTCCATTGGTCAGTCATTCTGTTGCGAAGAAAATATACATAGTATCCCTCTGCTTCACTTTTCCTCGGTTTACAACTATGGCTTCTTGTTATCCCTGTTACTGGTGCTAAGAACTCTCCTGCAGCTCTTACATGTCCCTTCATAACCTTGTATGTAGTTATCATGCCTCCTCTAAGCAGCCAGCGTGGCCGTATTCACAGTTTTCAACTGTTCATCGTGAATCTTATTTGTTAACTTGGGCAGCTATTGTTAACTGGTAGCCATTGTTAGCTGGGGTAGCCATTGTTAACTAGGGTAGCCATTGTTAACTGGGGTAGCCATTGTTAACTGGGGTAGCCATTGTTAACTGGGGTAGCCATTGTTAACTGGGGTAGCCATTGTTAACTGGGGTAGCCATTGTTAACTGAGGTAGCCATTGTTAACTGAGGTAGCTCTTCTTGGCAACTTTCATAGCTAATCCATTATTTTATAGTTTCTTCTTCGAGGTGTGAGCACCACACATGCTACATATTCCAATTCTGGTCTAATTTTCGGGGGTAGGCAGTTTAAATAATTTCTTCCTCCGTACATTTTGCATAATAAAGAAATTCGGTTGTGAGATTTGTGTTTCTGTCTCGTAAATAATGAACGGAGGATAGAGCCTCCAGCACTCCTTGCTGCATGACCCACTAGGCTATATCATTTAACATTAATACAATAATAATAATAAGTATTATTATTATTATTATTATTATTATTATTATTATTATTATGACCTAGGAATTACTTATATAATGACCAGTAAACATACTCCACCAAGAATATGCTATAGTGCTGCCACGTAATGTTAACTTCCTTGATGTTCAAACTTAATGGCGTATTTAAATATCTAGATATCCTAAAAGAAAAACTATTTGATTAAGAATTCCCCCCAAAATGCTGATGGTTACATTTTTTAAGATTTTTTTGGTCCGAATGCAATAAATTTTATTTTCGGAAAAATGGGGAAAAAAGTTATGCAGTAAAGATAGCATCAACATAAACGTGAAATTGAGACCTGGCAAGAGTTTAATGCTCTGTTTATTGATGTGAGAGATGTGAGTCACCTCAGTGGTTGGTTAAAACTGAGCAAGTTGTAACGTGCAACTCAATACCTGAAAGAAACATGATAGAATTAAACTATTTAAAATTTTTTTTTTTTTTCTACTTTACGAACATACATAAGGCTTAGGAGTTGGCTACATATATATATATATATATATATATATATATATATATATATATATATATATATATATATATATATATATATGTCGTGCCGAATATGTAAAACTGGTCAATTAGCAAGAAATCATTTAAAATCAAGTCCTTTCTAAAAATTTCTCTTATACGTTATAAGATATATTTTTTCATTAATGTTAATGTAAAAAATTTTAATTTTGCACCAAAAGAATCTTAGAAAACTTACCTAACCTTATTATAACAAGAACAATTTATTTTAGCCTAACCCAACTAAATATATTTCAGATTTGTTTACAATAATTTAATACTAAACAGACACAGTGAAATATATTTTTTTCGTTGGGTTCAGAATGATTTTGGCAAAATTATTGCATACACAAATTTTCGCTTGTCCTATATGGCAAGATGAGCGTTGCTATTTAAGCCAAGATCGCAAGTTCTGCCTATTCGGCACGACATATATATATATATATATATATATATATAAGCTGTGTTGGTGATCTCATTCTTAAGATGATACGCCAGATTTCCTTTCTACACTTTTATAGATCTGACTATCCTCTACTAACACACACACACACACACACACACACACACAAAACAGCTGCGTGTGTGTGTATCCACGAAAACTTGTGGTGCTTGCGGTGTTTTGCCTTATATTCATTTTTTTTTTGGGGGGGGGGTTTAGTATAATATTCTTAAAAGATCTGACTGGTTGCAGTTCTTACTAAAGTTCTAATTGGCTGAAGTTCTTGCTACTTCCTCTTTTGCATCATTCCATTGGTCAGTCATTCTGTTGCGAAGAAAATATACATAGTATCCCTCTGCTTCACTTTTCCTCGGTTGACAACTGTGGCTTCTTGTTATCCCTGTTACTGGTGCTAAGAACTCTCCTGCAGCTCTTACAACATCCCAAAACTTACCTACTTTCTGAGATGCTCCCCAGCCTTCAGCAGTCCAAAACTCAAGGAATATGACTCTCTCCTAAAGACCATGCTAGAGAGTGTACTGAATCTTTCCCCTGAAGATGGACAGTGGTTGCAAGCCTCAATTCCGGTCAGGCTTGGGGGGCTAGGAGTACGCAGATCCTCCCAGATTGCTCTACCAGCTTTCCTATCCTCTTCCATAGCCTCAAACGAGTTGATAAGACAAATTCTTCCTGATAACCTCAGTGACTCAGCAGGAATGCAGGCCCCTAGGTACACCAGTGCCATCACTGAATGGGAGACTCTTGCTGCTCCAGCACCAAACCCTAGTGCAGCACTGGCTCACAAATAGTCAAGCTGGGATGGCCCGATCGCTGAGAAGGTGCTTGCCAACATGCTCAGGGCTGCAACATCAGATAGGAATACTGCCGGTCTCCAGGCTGTGAGCGCACCTTACTCCGGGGACTTCCTCCAAACAGTTCTCATATTGGCAATGGGAACGCGACTCTACCCTAAGACCCTCCGTATTGCAGTGGCTCTGCGCCTTGCTGCCCCAGATCACACAGAATATATGTATATTTGCGGTGAAGCACATGCAGACAAATACGGTCTACATGGGCTTAACTGTTCCAAAACCAAGGGCTGGCATGCAAGACACAATGAGGTCAACGACATCATAAAGAGAACCCTTGCTACAGCTGGATGCCCAGCCTAGAGGGAGTCCCGATCACTAGCAGCCAACAATACCCACAACCCAGCAAACCGCCCTGACGGGATCACCATCTATCCTTGGAAGAATGGCAAGCTCTTAGCATGGGACTATACCTGTGTGTCCACACTGGCTGACACCTACATCCATCACAGTGTTGGGCGACAGGGAGGAGCTGCTGACCACAGGGAGGAGTACAAGATCAGCAAGTACAGGGACATAAGCCAACAGTATCTATTTGTCCCAGTGGGATCGGAGACCTTGGGATTATGGGGAAAAAATGCCACACGTTTCCTCAAAGAATTGGGTTCCAAACTCATCGACACCACCAGGGACCCAAGGGCAGCCACTTTCATTTTCCAGCGCCTCAGTGTAGCCATACAGAGGGAAAATGCTTGCTGCGTACTTGGCTCGCGTCCGGCTTCGAAGGAGCTGGAGGAAATTCATGATCTTTAATACATTGTACCATTGTATTCATGTTTGTATTTTTCTGCACATGTATTCTGTTTATCAATAAATGTTCACATAGAATATAAAATATATAGCGAGTGGTAGGAGAAGAAAATATTCAAACAGCTCCGGGGAGAACCTTGAGTTTTCCCCTGAGGTACGTTTATTGTCTTCTCTGAGGATGAGGGTCCCCAGTCCAGCTATAGAGGTGGTACCTCCCTATGTATATATATATATATATATATATATATATATATATATATATATATATATATATATATATATATATTATATATATATATATTTTAAATCTGAGTGACTTAAGAATGTGTAACTCTGGCACAGAGCTGGTGCAGCAAGTGGAACCCCCAGTGGACGAGATGGAGTTACTGAGTCTGGTGTTGTGGCTGCCCAAGGCTTGTCCGGCCGTTTCCAACACCACCATCCATGCACTAGTTAAACCAGGTGAGTAACACCGTACTGACCCTCTCCACGTGGCACCAGGTGCTCATACTTGCTAACCATCATAGATTTGACTCTCTCTCTCTCTCTCTCTCTCTCTCTCTCTCTCTCTCTCTCTCTCTTTATTTGTCTCTATGAGGTCATTCCATGCATCATCACCTGTTACTTTCTGTACATATAACTGTTTATTTCTTACCAGTATGCTAATGAGTCTTCATTTTAATAACTGTCTCTTTTTTTACTTTCAAGTTGACAATAATGTCCATGAAAATTGTTTTTATTCTTCTGAACTAATTTTAGGGATGGAATACACAATAATGCTTTTCTGAAAATTGTCTGAAAGTTCAGAGGGGTCAACGCCCCCCGCGGCGTGTTTCCAGATCAGTTTTAATGTTATAGTTTCAAATTGGTTTAAAAAGGGAAGGGGGAATAAACAGCTGTTTACCATTATATAGTATTATGTTCTAGGGGGAAGCGCTAAGCCTGTAGGGGTTCACACAGTATCTGCAAGGAAGGTGAGAGTAGCTCCTGTGCCTTGAATGAAAAGCCCTTGAGGAGCATCAAGGCACCTTGCTCCTTGAAGGGATCACCATTACTTAGGTGGGATGTTAAGCCGCCTCCAACAGCCTAGCTGATCAAGATCAGGGCTGCGATTTGTGAACGGGGGATCGAGCCTCCAAAGTTCTTTGCACTGAGTGACCCACACGGGCTTAGTGCTTCGCGAAATGCACGAGAAACGATAGCAGCGACAACAATAAGAATTATAGTCTATAATCCTGGTCTCACAACTCTAACAGAAACCTCAGCAAAAATCGCAATGTTATTTATAGACAGACTCGGGCATGTTTCTCATGCCTCTTCAAGCATGGAATCTTACATCAATGACGCAAGGTCCTCGGAGACAAATGGTTCACATAAGTGAATAATCGAGCACTTACACACTGATTTGCGGGTCACATAAGTGAATAATCGAGCACTTACAAACACTGATTTGCCAATTTAGTGAATCGTATATGTCATTTATTTATTTATTTGGTGTGAAGGCCATCAATTGGCCGTTCATTAAGAGTCATTAAGGCTGCTCTGGTTCACTTGTGCACATATATAGCAGCCACTGTGACAAGTTTTATCCCAGCGTCTGTGGCGTCTTGATGTGTAATTCTTGCTGTACCTGGGATTTTCTTTGTCATAGAAACAGACAGACAGACAGAGGGAAAGAAAGAAAAAGAGAAAGAAAGTAAGTGGGACGGAGGGAGGAAGAACACATTAGCAGTGTACCATCACGG